GCACAAAGATTTAACAAGCATGGGAATAACATCTTTCTTAGATAGCAAGAACATGAAACCAGGAGACAATCTCGATCATCATATAGACAAAGGAATAATTGGTTGTAAGATCGGCGTTGCAGTCTTCTCTCCTCAATACTGCGACTCGAAATTCTGTCTCCATGAGCTCGCTCTTCTCATGGAGACAAAAAAACGAGTCGTCCCGATATTTTTTGACGTTAAGCCGTCGCAACTTATGGTCAAAGGACAACGTAACGTGTTCTGAGAAAGAGCTTCGAAGGTTCAGATTTGCATTAGCTCAAGCTAAAAACACGGTTGGCTTAACCTTTGATTCATTCAATGGGTAGGTACATTATATTAATAGTAAAAAATATATTAACCCTCTCTCATCTTTTTTATTTTTTATTTTTTGATTAATTAATGTGGTTTTTGAGGTTGGATTAATTAATTAATTTTGACATGATTTATATTTTTTTTCAGGGATTGGTCAGAACTATTAAAGGATACTACAAATGCAGTGGTTATGAACTTGTGGGAGGTGGGGAGGAAAAATGAGTAAAAAATGATGAATACTAATTCAATATTCTCCATGATGAATATAAATTAAATTTGTTTATTGTTTGCATATGAGATCCAAATTAGACAAATCATATGTTATAATTAAATTACTCAATTAGTTGGCCTGAATTAGAATAATTAATTGATCCAGACTTAAATTCTTTTATATTCTTTTAATCAAATTGAATCTCTTGTATTATAGTCCTATGATAGAAGCTGGATTGAATCAATTTAGGTTCATCTGTTTGTATCTGATCCCATAGATTTGGGTTTGTTAATAAATTGTAATTATTTAATTTTTTTAAACATGTTGTTTATACATCTCAACACCATTGAATATATTGTATTTACATTTTTGTGAGAGGAGTTTTTTTTATTTTATATACACACCATCATTAATTCCCACGTCTATTTCACTAACAACAAACTAGTTCAACTAACTATAATTAGTTATTTGTAACCAAAACTATTATACAATCTGAATTATAACTGTTGGTGCAAGGTGATGAAATTGAGGAAGAAGAGAGAAAATGATGAATGATAAAAAGCTGCTACAAATGACTGGTAAGGAATTGACTAATATTAATGAAATCTAATACACCTATTTTATACACAAAGATAGTGTAGCGATAAAAAATGTAGCGGGGTAAATCGGAGATCGAATTATTAATTAATTCGTCTCACAAAAGCAAGAGTCGCCACCGCGCTTTATTATTTCCGAAGGAAAAGGGAAAAAGAGCGAAATAAAACCCTAAATATGCAATGTAAACAATAATAAAATACAAAGCGTTTTTGAAAAGAGATCTTATGGTTCGGGGGGTTGGTTATACAATGGGAAGGTACTAGCACCCAATGTATCTATAGTACTCTATAGGAACCTTTTGAAATATCTGTTTTATTTAAATTGATTGCTCGATTAAAAAATGAATTGTTTTTTTTGGCCGAAAAAGGGGTACGGATGGGTTTTTGAAGATACGACGACCTAATGTCGAAGTTTTTGCTTAAAAGGTATAAGTCTTGAAAAGGTTGAAATTTTGAAGTAAGGTGAATGTTTGAGGAAAAAATTATCCTGAGTTTTAATGAAATGCGAAAATTTGCGCAGTTAGATTTGGAGACATGAAGTCAACAAATTTACTGTTTTTTCCTTTGGATTTAAACATAAACCGAATAAACAAAAATACACGAACAAAAATATGCGAATAACGATTAAATAGCAATAATCTAAATGATGGAATAAAAGATGCGAACAATGCGTTTTTATGATTTTTTTTTGTTTAATGTTAACGGGAAGAAAGTATTTTCATTTTTTACGCATTTTTTGATAAGGATAAATCAAAAGAATTATTTAACGAGGACGTGACATTTTTTTTTTTAGTTTTAAGTTATTAAGTTTTTTTTATTTTATATTTTTGATATTAATATTAAGATAATAAAATATTTTTAATTTTTCTATTTTTATGCCTTTTATTATAAAAAGTATTACTTTAGGAATTCTTTAGATTAAATTAAAACTCAATACTACTAACTTAAATCTAATTTTTAAAAGATATTAAGATTATTAAATCTTGAAAGTTTGAATTAATAAAATGGCCCATTATTAAAAAGCTTTAGATTATATCTTTTATTTTTGTTAACTAAATTACAAATTAAAACTAATAAGATTCTAAGAGGTAGTCATAAAATAGAAAAAAAAGTATTAAGAGGAGGTGAATAAATAAGTCAGAATGGGCTAGAAGGTTAGGATAAGGCCCAAGGCACAAATTGAAGACAGGGGGGGGGGGGGGGTGCACAAGGATTCGTGGGCTTAAGCTGAATGAAGGGATGAGGCCCAAAAGCTAATATAGTATTAGGGTTAAAACATGTTTAACACAAATTGGGATTAGGGTTTGTCTTATGGGCAGAAACGGCGCCTCCCTCTTCTTCACGATCTTCATCTTCTTCGCCCTACTTCTTCATTCTCGCCACCGGACTTGATGTTTCCTCTTCGCCACGGCCACCCACTCTTGGCCCTTCTTCCCTCCACCGGACAAGAAACGAGACGGCTAGGCGGAGACGGTAAGCACGCGTTTGATTCGTTAACATTCGATTCGGTTTTTTTGCATATTGATTCGATGATTTATATTATGTTTGATCTTGATTGATTCTTATATTGATTGTTCATGCTGATTTGAGGGCATTCGAAGAAAATAAAAGAGATAAGAGCGTTACCTAGGTGGAGGCGGAGGAAGAGCTAGGGGTGACGGAGGTCGGGCGGCGAGGAGAGGGAGAAGCGAGCCCAACGGTGAACGGTAGTTATGATTTTTCTTCTCTTTGTTGCTGCCACTGTACTGTACTGTATTGCTTCTTCTTGTTTTGTTGGAACTGCTACCTTGTTTCTTCCTTCTTCTTCTTGAGTGTGATACTGCACTTGTTCTTGTTGAAACTTGTTGAAACTGATACTTTGTTTCTTCTTCTTCTCTGAACGAGCTACTGTATGATGATTTTGTTTTTTCTCTCTCTTTGCATGGATTATTGCACTTGTTCTTTTTCTTCTTCTTTGAACATGATACTGCACTTGTTCTTCTGTTCTTGCTTGAACGTGATACTGTGCTTGGTTCTGTTGAAACTGATACTGCACTTCTGTTTTCTTCTTCTTCTTTGAATAAGTTACTGTATGATGATTTTGTTTGAAGTGGGCTTGAGGAATATGCTTTGAAAAGGCCAATGATGTTGACACTGAGGCCAAGTCGGTTGACTTAGGAATTTTCAGGTTTTTGGATAGATAAAGCTCAAGTTGAGTAATAGTTGGACATGGTGATGGATGTAGGGATCTTCGTGTGGTTTGGACAGATTGATGGAAATTGGGGCAGAAGTTGTTAGGCCATATTGATGGTCGTGTAACTCGTGTTTCTGTGAGATTATTTTGGTGTTTTTTTTTCTGATGACAGGATGATGATGTTGGCTTTAATGGCTCAATCCATTTTTGCAAAGCTTGGCCATAAGGTTTGGAAATGGTTTTTTGACAGTATGTGACAATGCAGGTTTTTTGAGTCTTTGATCTTTTCTTTGATAACTATCTTTTAAGTGTTTCTTGGAGGCTTGGATATATGTTCTCCCATGATATTGGTTTTCTTTTGTTATGTATTATAACAACTCCTTCCCTCTTCTTTTCGCTACAGGCCAGAAATTCAAAAAATGCTTTGGGATTTCCCTGAGCATTCTGCACTACTGTCCCTCCAATTTGTTTCTATTCTTCTTTTGTGTTATTATTTTTACTGGCTATATTTTGTTTGTCTTGTATAACCTCTTTCTGCCTATGCTAAGCCTGCAAATCCCACACTTCTCCCTCTCTTTTTCCCTCAGTATGGCTCAGATAAAAAGTGATAAGCTGTACATTTTTTCTGAAATTGCAATGGCCAGAAAATGATGAAAATGGAACTTTTACATTACTTGTCAATGTGGTCAAACTGCATGTTTTCCCTTTAATACAAACTTGTTTTGTTTTCTGCTGTGTGGGCAAAGGTTACGTGAGCATGCTTGCATATGTAGTTACTGCATGGTTTTGTATGCTTATGCTGTATGTCTTTTTTTAAAATTGCATTTGGGATTTTAAACAAATGTAATTAATTTAACATGCAGTTTTTTTGGAAAACATAAACTTGCATATGTTTTAAAATTCCTTTCTTTTTTATGAACCGGGAGAAATCCCGTGATTTGCAAAAAAGAATAACTGATTCCGGCCATTGCATTTAATGATGAAATTTTAATAATTTCGCTTTTTATTCATTTATTCGAATTCTAATTTCTTTCTTTTAATTGTGCAGGTAACATTAAGTGAGCGGACAAAACGCATTGGATCGGAAGTTTTAGAATTAGGATAGATTAGTTTTTTTATTTCATTTTAGTTTTTGTCAATTTATTATTGTAATTTATTGTAATATATACAATGTTTACATAATAACTTGTACAATAAGAAAATGAATAAAAGAAAACTATTTGCCAATTAAATTCTTCTTCTTTATTTATTTATCGTTTACAATTTCTCCAAACGAATAATAATTGAAAACAAGTTTCAATTACCTACATTCAAAATAATAAACAGATAAATAAATAATTATCGTTGATCAACTAATATCTTCGATTATTTAATTCATCATTCACAGCTAAATTATAATAATTAAAACAGGGTTTCAATTATTTAACTTAGAACGACGAATGATTAAACAATCGTTATTGACCAATGAACTTTTTCTGAATGCTTATTATATTATTCATAAACCTTTAAATTATGTAATAACTAAGAATAAATTCCAGTTACTTAAATTTAAGATAATGAGTAATAAATAAATACTGTCCACACAGTTAATGCGCCTCTTCTCTGATGTTTATTTTATTATCTATACATCTTTAAACTACATAATAATCGAAAATGAATTTCAATTATTTAAATTTTAGATAATAAATAATTAATAAACATCATTTTAGCACGAATCGATTAAATGATTTAATGTTCAGCATAAATAGCTCTTGTCCAGAAAAAGTCATGAATTTTAAAATCGATGGATCAAGACAAATGTAATGTAATAATGTAGGTAGGAGACGATATCTTAGGTCAAAATTTGGGGTACAACAGCTGCCCCTATTTAAGTTTCTTCTATCCGGAGATATGAAGATTGAAATCTTCGTTTCGACGAGATTGAAGGTACTTAAATACATAACTATGCAAATTTTGTCCTGAGATGTCGTCGTCATGTTTGATATGAATGCAGCAATCGAACTCACAGAGAAAGATATTGTGTGAAACGAGACAATGTTAGGGAATCGAACACCAACAAGACACAGCGGTACGGATTATACATTATTGAGGAAACAAGCTATCGACTTCAAACGACAGACTCCTGACAGCGAATAAAATCGAGGGAATACAACCTCTAACCCTAACAAAAGAGCATCTTGCATAGGCCGTAACAGATTATTGATCCCAAAACAGTGAGTTCGCAACTCAAGGTCGATGGTAGACAG